TGAGTATCAGAATATATACAAACTTCTATGAATATCAAAAAGTGTTGAATTTGGTTATGTTTGTTTTGGTTTTAACTTTATCAAATTATTATTGCAAATGAATGTTATTCTATTTTTTTTATATTATGGCCTATTCGAATAGCGAGTGAACCTAATCCTGGTACCGGCACCAGGCCTTGAATCTGCAGTGCTTATCTGTAAAAGCTTTATGTAAATACAGATCGTATTTTATATAATTCATATGAAGTATTTTAAATAAAACTAGAGAGACTACCAGTCTCTCCCGTGACCATGTTGCTGGAAAGCTTTTGAAACGTCGGGAACTAATAATCAAAATAAATCCGCGAAAAAACCGAAAAGACAGTTTTATTTAAAATGCCAAGTATCCGCGTAAATCAAAGAAAAAAGGTATGTCCTCGAATTCAGTTGTCAAGTTACATGGAAATTATAGATTAGCACTACTGTACATCTTGTGATACTACCAACGCAATTTTGCAAAAGTAGGTTAGTTGTTAGGAACCTAAAATATTTAAACTGACTTCATTTATTAGTGATCATTGAAGTTTGTAACGCTGTAATTAAATGCTATCATGTAATTAACGATGTGCCGATTCAGACCAGTTTGTTAGTAGTAATTATGTACAAACTGTAGTGACTGTATTTATTTAGAATATTTAGACATTATTATACTTGTATATTGTAAATGTATATTAAACATGTTGTAGGTAGTTACTGATACGTATTCGTATAAAATTTCTAATAACAAAGGATCAATTAATTCTAAATTATCTGCTATGACAAATATTTGCTACATTGTTTTAAACGTAGGTATCGAATATTGAATTAACACTGTATGACATGCTCTACTTACCTAATTACTCTATATATGTATTATCTACTAATGAATCTTTACATTGTAGTCATAAATAGAATTAATTACTAATAACATAATTCTGTGTGTCATCGATTTATTCATATGACTTATAAATATTTGTACGTTAATACAGCGCTTAAAAGGAAAGTGAACTGCCTAACGTTTGCCTTTCAAAATTTTTTGTACATATCTTATTGATGTCTAGTAATATATACCAAAATGCTATATTCCTACGTTATATTTTATAGTTATAAATTTTTGTAATAGTTATTTTATCTGTGGACCATTTTATAAATTTTAATGTGTGTACATAACCGTTTGCAGTTTATATTTATACATTAATCTGTCTGTACTGTTACAAAATTATATGTTCATACATATATATTAATTAATCAACTAAAAGTAATAAATAATATTTTTACTAACAAAGGGTTACATATAAATATTAAATATAGAAAATCCTATTTCTTTTTAATAAACGATTTAAACTAAGAAATTGAAAGTTCGTATCATAAAAGTGACTACTATATTATAACTATCGACGCCTTTTTCCCTCATATTGAATTAAAATATCTCGGAATTAATAAATAGTTATTAGGCACTATTTATTAAACTCTTTATTAACGAGCGACTAGAAATGTACTGGTCACTGATGTATGCGAAAAATGTAAACTGATTGCTAGTAATTGTATTTAAATCATACATATTATTATTCCAGGAGAGATACCAATGATTAATTCATAATTGTTTATAAATATCTTTAAAATACGTTGTGACCAATTGTTTATGCTGCACTAGATATTGCTGGTGACATTAAAACTATTGTGTGTTTATGTAAGCATAAAACGAGATAGCTCGGAGCGCGAACTGAAAGTGGGCGGTACGTAACACCGTGCAGGAGCATGTAAGCGTGGGTGCCAGTGGATTAAAATCAGGCTTGGTATTTTTTATGAAAATACTTCCTTTAGCTTTTTTTAGGTAAGAGAAACTTAACTTGTATTTAGATCCATCGTATGCTAAGGATTCCTTAACTGCCTCGGTGGTCTAGTGGATAACATATACGGCAGCAGATTCTGAGGTCCCAAGTTTGAAGTCCCGGGTCAGGCCAAGCTCGGTTATTAAGTATTTCTATCAAGAAATTTTCAGTAATAGCCTGGAGTTGGGAAGTTGGAAGTTGACTGTTTCATCCCCGTGCCTTGAAGAGCACGTAAAGCCGTCGATCTTACCATTAAATCTCACCGGTCGTGTCTCGTGTCGTCCCACCGGAGTATGAGAGTGACAGGAATAGAGAGTGCACGTTGTGTCTGCACTATAATATCTCCTGCGCAGATGCCTAGTCTCAATGAGATTGATCGCCAAAATTAGTCTGGTGGGCATTATTATATGCTAAGGATGTTATGCCATTAGTCTAATAACTTTGCGTAGCTTAATTTTGTAGCACAATTCAATGAATTTTTCGTATAGTATTCGCAAGGACACAGTTTTTGTTTGATTTTTGGTGAATAAAAGTGTCAATAAGTAATTGTGCATTTGATGAAGTTGTTCAATATTATTCTGCTTTTTGGAATGTTATATTCACCTGTTGTTAATTTCCCACCAAGTTCATTATCAAATTGATACATATAAAGCCATCTGTTGACATTTGAACTAATTTTACTTTGTTCCTGAAAAGACCTCATGGTATTATCATTAATAAAAATAATATTATTTCTAAAGGTCAAATAATATGTGATACTTGTTTTAAATAAATTTTAAATAAGATTAATTATAATCATTAATCAGTCGCTTTTTTCGGATGTTGCAGTCGCTCTCGCTATTTATATTCTTAATAATCTGTAGGTATTAACCAATTGAAGTTGCAATAATTCGTTTAAATACTACCCATAGTTTAACCCAATAATTTGTCATCAATATGTAACAGTACGCATAGACTAGTGTATTTGTATGTCAGCTCTCGTGCTATTTAGGTAATAAGGCGTAATTATAAAATGTATTCAAGTTCAGAAAAAACTAATTATTCTTTATGTCTAATATAATAAATAATATGATTATAAATACAAAATGTGTATATTTAGAAAAAAAAACTTTATATGAAATACATTTATTGAACGAACACGTAAAAACAGATAATCCTAAGTAGGTACGTATATCTAATAACTATCTTTATAGAAATACAACAAACGTTCTCCCTTACCGCCATCACGAATCACTTACATTTATAATCACAATATAACAGGATACACGTAGCTACATATAATTTCGAAGAAGACGATTGTTAAATAACTTCCGCTATATTTCATATCTTAAAATGTGTTATTATATATATGTGTAGTTCAGAGAATCTTACGTTATATCAATCATCCAAACAATTTTTTTCTTATTCAACAATATACTTAAAGAGACATTTTCGTAACTATCGATTTAATGTAAAGTATAAAAACTTGTACTGAATTTTACAAATTTATCTCATAGATTAAGATATATAAACAGTATAAAGTATTTTAAGGGTGATTTAAATGCAAGACTTATTTTGCAGCGTAATGAATTAGAGAAACGACATTTATTCCTATTTCTCTTATATGTACTTAAAAATATTCAACATTTCCTATGATTGACCATTTTTTATAACAATTGTTTAAGTGAGAATAGAATAGACAAAATCATGTTATCGACTACATTGTGTTTATTATAGATACTAGAAAGTTATTGAGAAAATTAATTTTCTTTGAGTGATGAATAAATGATGTATAAATCAATAGTTTTTTATTAAGCGCTAAGGTTATAAATAAATATTATTCAAAGTGTGAACCAAATAGGTACTTTTATTGAGCGATACATGCTTTAATTCACATCAGATAGTTTTGGCACCAATTTATTAAATGAGATATAAAAATGAAATAAATACATAATTTATTCTAAGATTACTATCTGTCACCAGATTATTACTTGTTGCAGCAAAATTTGTTTTAAGTTATACTTAACCTATTTTGTAATTTTAGTTGATTTTTCGGCAATATATTTTCGTTGTTGATAGTGAGTGCACTGATTTATTATAAAGCTACAATTTTTTGCTTTAGAATTTAGTGTCAGTCATTTTTTTCAGTTGATCTTCTCTTCAAGCGTTTCGTTTTTTATAAACTTTTTAATAATGATTCTTCTTTATGGCAGATAGATGTGTAAAACTACATTAAATTTAAAATTAAATTTGACAATGTAGCTAAATTAGGTAGTTTAGAAAACCTAACTTTACAATAGATACGTTTACATCTACGCTGTATATACATTTTACAAACAGGTACTATGAAAAATATTGGCAGTTTATAATTTTTTAAGTATGAATTTGCAATAATATTATTATTAATTTGATAGAAGTATATTTTTATAAAGGAGTGTAAGAAAAGTCGCTAATGATCACCCCACGAAATCATAGACAATAGTGCAAACTATATAGCATTCGTAATCTATCATAAATACATTATAATTCATATAATTTCCAACTCTTTTTACATCTTTGGTTAAATACCTAGTAAGGGCTGGTGATCACTTGGAACACATATTTTGGAATTCTTTAGACTCTTAAAAAATTTATAAACTAAGTGATATTATGCCTATACGCACTCTAGGCTTTTTTAATTAAAAATTTAGAAATTTGAGAATGTGTTTTAACATTTTTATTCAATAATAAGTATTTCTTGCTAAATTTGTTGCACCATTTTTGAGTTGATGGCATTTTCAATAGGGAATATAAAAATCGCGTTATGTCTAAAGTGCGTTTAGGTTAATAATTCAGATTACATCGTCGGTAACCCGATTGGAGCATCCAAATTAGTCATCATTTAATCATTATAGAGGTAACATCTTGGCAGTGTTAGAATAATGTATATATAAGCCAATATTCAATAAAACGAATACCACTTATCAGTAAATCAAATGACACCGCCAATTACATCTTATTTCTTAAAAAGTTCCTCGTACTGGTTACCTAGTTACAGCGATTTTCTTGTACCATCATTATAGAGCTAAATTATTTACAGTTCATTGATCATTCTCTCGAGACCTAATCACTTAATTTTTGTCTACAAGTATAAACACTACTAGGTAAATACAAGCAAAGGAATACGTATTAACGAACTGCGACTCCGTTAATGGTCACCACTGCACTCGGCCCCGTCGGTTCCGGTTCGTAGGCGGAATCAGTGTCACTGCGTCTACCGTATGCAGCATTTTCCGCTAAGCTTTCACTGTACGGTGAGTCGTATAAATTGTCAGTTACATGATCGTAGATGTGTCTGCCATTGGTATCGTGAAGAGTCGCGTAACTCATCACAGCCGCGCTTTGGTCTTCCTTTCGCTCAGCCCCTTCTATGTTTTCTGTGTTTTTAACAGGTGTAGCTTTTCGTCTGAAAACGAATATAAATTTCATATGAATATATACCTTTTTTTTAAATATTAACATTATTGAGGGTTTTTTCATTATTAGTAATTTTTCTACTTACAATCTCAAATATATGACTCCTAATAACATCAATAAGAATAATACAACACCACAGCCGACCCCGACGCTTAATGGCAATGCGCCGCTTTCAGCTGCTTCATTTGTGGCTAATTCACACCTAGGATCTTCGCCACTCCATTTTCCATCATCTAAGCATTTCCGCAGGAAGGGCCCGACACGCTGATATTGCGGTAGACAATGGTACTCAATCGAGCTACCAAAAAGCGTGGAACTGTTTGATATAATAATACGCCCGTTGTCAATTGTGCCTGGCGACTTACAATCGATTGCTGTAATGTAATATATTAATTAATAAGTGTAACAAAAAAAGAAAGTAATAAACATACGAACAGAGATGAGAAAAATAGTTCATAAAATGTATTTAAATACAAAATGCAAATATTTTTTATATTTCAAAAACAAAATGGTTTTTCATTTTGTATTTAAAATACAAAATACGTATTTCCAAAATACTTTATTAAAATAAAAAAAAAACTTTTATAGTTTTTAACTTTCTTAATTTATTAGTAAGCTGGCAATTTAAGTATGTAATTAAAGTGAAGGATATCGATATGTTAAGAAAATTGACCAATATAACGATAAATGTAAGTTATTTTTTTATTTATTTTTTCTTATTATTTTCGAAAATACAAGAAATTAATTTAATGCTACAATAATTTAAAAGTAACGGTTATTATGTTCTCATTAAGAAAAAAATCGGCAAACTGAGGTCGAAATGGATTTTTTTTAAATTAATCTTTTTATAAAATATCGAGTTTTTTAGGCCCCAGCGTATTTATTTAGAAGTTTATATTTTTATATCTATATTGGTTGATGTTTAAATAACAACATATAAATAAATTACTATGTTAAAAAATTAACTCGTAATAAAATAAAACGTTGTCGCATGTTATTAGTGAGTAACATGATTTTAAGTGCATTTCTATAAAATACTGTGTTTATTTGAATGTCAATGAATTATATTATAATTATTTATAAGACAAAACTATTTAAAAAAATATTGTTATTATTTTTTTATTAGAGGGCTCACTTTTGTTAGCTTGTTCATACTTTAACAGATTTTAATAAATTAATTTGTTTGAAGACACTTTTTTCACATTAATGTATTGATGTTGACAAAACTTTTGAGTATTTTGCATTTTGCAAATATAAGATACGACCAAGAAGGTATTCCAAATAAAATAAAAATGCTTTTCTAAAAAAAGTATTTAAATTCAAAATGGAAATAGGGAATTTTCTTTTCAAATACTATTATTTTAAAATGTCACATTTCTGCATACGAATATTATGCGATGTATATGTATAAGGTATAGTAATTAACAACTAAACTTACGTATGCAAACAGGTGGAGTACCAAACCATATGCCTTTTGGTAAACAAGTTCTTGTTTGATTTCCTTTTAAACTATATCCTCTCTCGCAGCGGTAGTGGGCTTCCCCTCCAATACTGAGAGTTGAAGTGACTACAATCAAGCCTACGCTTCCCTTTATTTGGATTGAAGGATCTGTGCAAGTTATCTCTGTGAAGCGTATAAATATATTACATTTAAACCGAATTGTACAAAATTGGACCGAATTGTGCGATAAAGAGGAAAATAATCACTTAGGTTTATTTTAAAGAGAGTTTAGTTTAAAGACCCATTCATTAAATGTTTACCTTTGCAAACAGGAGCTTCTGAGCTCCATGTCCCGTTATCCTGACACAGTCTTCGAGAGACCCCGTCGAGTTGCCAATGCTCGTCGCATTCGTAAAGAGCAGCGGCTCCGTAATACGTAGCATTCGTTGCTAGAGTCACTTTACCATTTTGTATCCACCCGGGATTGCCGCAATCCACGTCTAAAAGGTACAAAATATTTGTGAATTATATAAATATATAGTCTTGAATACTGTGTTTTGTTAATAGGACATTTTAAACTAAAAAAAGGCTAATTTTTTGTAATATAATGTTCTGTTGTTATGTTTTTCAATAAAAATAAGAAAAATAAAATATCTACTGAGCTAGCCATCTTGCAACATAAATTATGCATTCGACAAAATCAGATAAAGTTAATAAATTCTTAAATGAATTGACAAATTAAATTATAAATATTGTACTTAATCAATACTCACATTGGCATTTCGGTGTGACCCCGCTCCACTGACCATTGTCCTCGCAGGTGGAGATACTCTCGCCCACCACCTTGTACCCGCGCTCGCAGCGATACTTCACTAGCGCTCCAATACGGTACGTGTTTCCATTGTTGGTATTAACAGACGTACGTATGAGAGTGCGGCCGTGCATGCGGTCGTTGCCGGTTACCGAGACTATGCTGTTTTCAGCAACTATTGGTTCCTGACATCTTATTTCTGTAAATTTATAATCTGAATAATAAACGCGACATTTACTCAGATAGACTGGACCTCGGACACCCCCGAGCAAATGTAGGGTTAATCGCTAGTTTACTATATATGTACACATAGATGTCTAAAAAAGGCCAAATTACATCGCAAACAACGGTTACTGAAAAAAAAGATCTGTTATCTAATTTATAAGTATTTCGTTTATTCGATAGTTCCTTAATTCATGTAGGTACCTACCTATATGTAGGTATATCAGTTTCTTCATTGTTATGTAATATCTATGTATAAAACTTTTTCAATAGGTTTAAAAGAAAAAATCGAATTACTAAAACGCAGCAGAGCCCGCAGGGCCGAATTAACCATGTCGTTGGCCCCTGGTGCAATTCTCGGAGCCATTTTACCCTTTTCTAACTTATTGAAATACATTTTATCTACGACAATGCAATTATATTCGTAATAAAGCTTTTACGTCGATTTAAAAAAAAATCTAACTTGTTGTATTTGTCGTTGTATTTCTCTCCATGGTGGGATTCCCACAATTTTTTTTTTAATTTTTGAAATTAAATATTCACTCGATAAAACAATTTCAATTTTTTTTCTCGGTGCGTGGAGCCCATAGCCAATACGAGGTCCCCGCATCGGCTAGGCAGTTGCCAAAATGCTCAAAATGGTATGCTTATTTATACACGTTGCATTTTCTCATGTTGCCTAAACTTTATGCACAAGATTTTTTTGGGATATTTTATTTATTATTTTAACACTCTTAAGTCTTTGTTCTGAATGTTTTTTTACTATAGTGTAAAAATTAATAAAAACATGCTCGGTATAATCAGGTAAACAAGACGAGAACTATTAAATACTAATAATAAAAAATATACATACCTTCGCATCTTGGGGACGAGTCACTCCATTGATGGTCCTCCGTGCACACTCTCCTCACGGGACCCACTAGGCGATAAGTGGTTGTGCAAGAGTATTGTATAACGCTGTCCAAGTGTGTGGTGCCATTCAATAGGTCTGCTGAGCCGTATGGTAGGGGCGGCAGCTTGCCACAGTCTACATCTGTATAAAACAAGCATGAAACAAGCATGTTAGAATAAGATAAAAAACGTTAGAAAAATCCTATAATATGTAAAACCAAGGGAAAGGGGTTTGTAGTATATAGGTATGTTTCCTATGAACTACAAACGGCTGGAGCGATTTTGATGAAATTTTCAGACAATGTCCAGGTTAGCCCAGCGGGATCCTGTGAAGTTTGGTAGCATTCGGAAGTAAAAACGCGGGCGAAGCGGCGGGTACTGGTAGAGCAATATAAATGCATAAATAGTTACGAAATATGTACATATTTCATACATGATATCTGATTGCAATACTTCTATTTGACTGCGGCGATCGTTCGTTGATTGTTTTTGTTACCATACGAGTCGTGGTTACGGTTTTTTTGGTTTAAATCAACGATGGATAGCCAATAGCGTACTCTTTTCATAAAAAAGGATTTACGTTTTCTTTACAGATTAATAAAAATGAAGTGTCTGTTTGTAGTATCAACATACCAGCGTTTTACTAAATGCATTTGGAAGTATGTATATTATACGGTACTTATAAGAAATACATTTTTTTATTTTTTTTCTGTCTGTCTGTTTGTTCTGGCTAATCTCTGAAATGGCTGGAGCGATTTTCACTGGCAGGTAGCTAGCTGTAAGGACTAACTTAGGCTTCTTTTACTTTAGAAAAAGAATTAGGGTTCCGCTCAAAAAAATTAAAACGTACTTAGAGACGCACCCAAGCTAAGCGAGGGTGAGTCGCTAGTAATTAATAGGTATATCTACTTGTAAATCTCTTTTAAGGTTGAAAAGCTACTAAACGTGTTAATACGGTGGTAAGTAATAAATATTCATTATGACTTAATATAATATTTGAATCAATTGACTTTATTGAAATAATTCAATAAGTTTGGGAGAAATTGTGTTGCATAGTGGTTGTAACAGGAGGTATTAATCAATAAACATAATTTTTATTTGTTACTTTCACATGCTTGTAGCTTAATCTACATAGGTATTATCAGATAATTCTATGCGCTTCCATATAGAAGGCGTATTTTGTTTAGTTGTTGAATAAATTTCTATTTATAATATTAATAATAAATATTTTATCGCGGAGTGAAGTTTGTAGTTCAGAATATGATAAATATAAAAAAAGTCTCAATTAACGTACATTCACATTTTGGCGACTCTCCGGACCACTCGCCGTCAGGCTGACACGTTAGGTTTGGCTCACCAACAAGCTTGTGCCCTTTTTCACAGTGAAAATCGATCGTCGAATGTACGTTGTAATCGTAAGCCTCCATGTACCCTCCTGCGGGCACTTCGGGATCAGGACATGATATCACTAAAAATAAAATAGATGCATTATCTATCTACGTACCTATACAAATATTATAGAGGTAAAATTTGTGAGATTGTGATTAAAGGGATTATCTCTGGATCTACTGAACGGATTTAGATGAAATTTGGTAAGAAGATAGTTTGAGACCCTACGAAAGACATAGGAATCTTTTTTCCTAAAAATCATCCCGTAAGGGGGTGAAAATGGGGATGAAAGTTTGAATTGGGAATCAAGCTAGGGACGAACCCGAGCGAAGCGAGTCGAGTGAGTCGCTAGTACAAAATAAATACAAGTTATAATCACAATAATTTTACGAAAATATAATCACGTTATCCGTTAATATAGTCTTAGTATAGGTATTGCATTGATATAAGTATAATACGATTATTATTATTGCATTGTTTTATGTACTTTCAATGTTCTCACTAGCAAGCCGGCGGGCATATGGCTACTAACGTGTTTTAGAAATAGAACAGTTCTGAGAGATCTTCAGTCTTTTGCCTGTCAAGATATGAAGGTTTTGTGCTGTTTGTTATAGAATGATAAGAATAATACTGAAGTAATAAAGCGAATGTAGTTTTATTTGAACTACGGCTTATATATTATTTGAATAACAAAGTAGAAGCTAACTGGGATCTCTAAGTTCTAAATGAGAAAGTTTATGAGTAAGCAATATAATATCGCATAAAATTAATTTTGCTAGCTCTAGTGAGTCAACTGCCTTAAGTGAAATTCAGGATAGGTATAATTTTAATCCTGGCTTAACATACCCTTCTTATTCTTATATTCTTAAGGCGCCTTTCCTCACGCGTCACGTGAGCTAGTTTAAATAAATTAATGAACGAAGTGCACAATATGAGATATTTTTTATATTATTTTTATGTAGAGCTATTTTATAAAAGTAGCTTACGTTCACAGGATGGAATGTCGTGAGACCATTTCCCATCTCTATTACAGCTCAGGATTTCTGCTCCAGCGAGCCAATAGTCCGACTCACAGCTGAACTGTGCAATGGATCCATACGTGGTGGTACCGTTGAGCAATCTGAATGATCCTTTGTGTACTTGAGCTGGTGTGCCACAGTCTACATATTTGCACGACGGTGGGGTACCAGACCAAACCCCGCCAAGATTGCAAGTAACGCTCTGGAAAATGTAAATTGTTATTTATTCTGATAAAATCCGTTTTATTATATACTATTTATTATTATACGTTTCTTACTATTTTATATATAAATTCATCCGGTAATTTAATTATTAATTATTGCACACAAAAGTTGCAACTACGAAATTTTATTACATGTTATAAAGTTAAGTATAATAAAATCTGATAATATAAAAACTTTTAAGGAAAATTACATGCCACTAATTGAATAGAATTATAAAAATAAAACAAGACTTAGCGAAATTGGCGACATTAAACGAATTTCTTTATTTTACTAAACATCCATAGGTTATTCCAATAGAGCTTAGACATAAATCAAATCAATTTATTAATTGAACTTACTGGTGCTCCAAAGAGAATGAATCCATTTTGACAAGTATATGTTGCAAGGGAGCCAGCTTTATGACCGCTAACAGTCACTGTCGCCCCGGACACTGGTAGTGGTTCCGGACACCAGTCAAACAAACATTTAGGGGCCTCCCCTTCCCATATACCCTCGTCTCCACAAAGTCTTTCTTCTTCCCCAACGAGTGTGTAGTTTTCTTTGCATGAGTAAACGGCGCGGGCGCCATGAGTAGTTCGACCGTCTACTAAATTGACGTCCCCGTCTTGAATTGGAGTTAGTCCACCGCAATTCACATCTGTTAAACACATTACAAATATGACTTTTGATTTGATCTAATAATTTGTTTAATTAATGTACTGCAAAATAATAATTATTAATTATATACTAAGATTAATAACATAAAAGTAACTTGTGCTAGCATTTACTTATTGTAATAAAATTGTTTGATGAAATCGTAATTCTGAAAAAAAATACATATGTTCTTTACTTACATTTACAACTAGGGGCTACACCAGACCAGAATCCATCTTTCTTGCACTCTCTAGTTTTGTCTCCAATTAACATGTGCCCGTCTGGACACTTGTAAGATATAGAAGATCCTACGAGGTAACTACTTCCTTCGATAGTCGTGTTCAAAAGTTTATCAGGACTTCCACATGAAGGCGGTACTACAATTGGAATATTTCGATTACGTTAATTTACTGGTAAATAAATACACTAACGTTTTTATTTCGCTTTATATGCAAATAGATTTCATGATAGACAAGTGAGATCGCAATATTATGTAATCAGTAAACGCAACAACGCGTTACGACTGAGCGGCGTTGTTGAAAATAATTGACTGTGCTATGCTTTGTAGCAATAAAACGTGGAGCGCAATGTTTTTGAAGTACTTGGAGGTATTTCAAATATTCTATAACAGTGCCCTAATTACTAACGGCGTAGTAATTTTTATTAAAACGTGTTTAATTTTACTTTAAAAAAGGCATGTGCTAAACAAATATTCAAAAATCTTTTAAAAGATATTGCGCATGCAGCATAAGTATAGCAGAGCAACAAAACAATCGCAAACTTAAAAGTTTTAAAATAAATCAAATGACCATCGCAGGACATTGCATTTCGCACTTGCGGTAAATAAAATAGATATGTACCTATGAATGACACTCACGGTACTGGCAGATCCAGTGCAGGTAGTCGAGGTTGCAGCCCACATCATTCCACAGCCAGGCGCGTCCGCCGTCCAGCACTACGCAGTTCTGTTCTCCGTTATAGTTGTTTGGCTGGTCTTTACCCCAGGCTGGCTTCGATACTGTTTCGCCTATACATTAACAAAATATTAATTATTGTAGCTCCTTAAAAAATGTTTTTTTTAAATCTTATGATTTATGTATACTCTTTCATAGTCGACGGGATACGAATAAAACAAAAGTTCCTTTATTCCGCACACTCAGCGGTTAGCATTTACCCATACCTACTTCAACTATAACTACATTTAGTATAAGCTTTTAAAACTAAAATGTAGTTCCTATTTGCAAGAATATTATACAACAGTCAAGTATTGTTCGTCTAAATTTCCCGCTGCAATTTAACTATAATAGGATTTTCCGAAATGAGTACCTATTTGTAAAGTGATGTTACTTGTGGAATTATATAATGCAAAAAGGACACGTGTAACGTTTCATATTACATATAGTACCTAGGCCACCGAGCTTCGCTCGGAGTTTTTGGTTAAAAGTACAATTAACTTAAAAAAAAAACTAAAAACTTGAATATATATATATATATATATATATATATATATATATATATACACTTAAATATTGCAATAATTATCTGTACTAATATTATAAAGGAAAAAATTAATTGTTTGTTCGTTTAATAATGTTATTTTCTGAATACAACTGAAATTGATTTTAATAATTTGTAAGCTATAATATACAAGAAAAAAACAATTTTTAATTTCAGTAACAATAAGATAGCCAGATATGGTTTATGGTAATTTAAAATATAATGCACGCCAAAGTACAATCAAATTGAGAAGTACATAATAATGATTGCTAAGTTTGCTCAGTATATAGCGAAATAATAAGCCGGCTACAACTCACCATCAACCCATTTCCAAGTTCGTGAAGTGAGCCCAGGCTCTTTCTGAGCTCCTATCCAAACTAGTTGAGTTTTCAATTGCGATTTTCGCCGTTCTAATTCCTGAATGAGATAACTCGACGTTGCGCCCTGTTAAGTATAAAAAACTGATATAAAGGTCATAATTTCATTTTATACATATTCGTCAATACATTTGCACTAAATAATTAAACATTCCTAATAAATAGATTTTCATTAGTAGAAATGTAAGTCAGTAAATAGATTTACATTCAATATGATAATGTTTTAATATCTATACATAAAACATTATATTACTTGAATAATAATTAATATTTAATGAATAAAACATAAGCCTCAAAGCATTTTGTATAAATGAGGATCGTTCAAATGATTTGGGCAAATAACAATATTTCCATTAGTATATAAATTTTTATGTATGTAATTCCTAAAATGTTGGAAAATACGTACCAATTTATAAACAAAAAAACCGAAATTGATAAATGCTACCGGATAAACATTTTCATAACGTTATTAGCACAAATATTCATTTTCTTCGGAAATCGAATCCACGTACCCCGGCGTTGAGGCACTATTGCGAAGCATAAACAATAGAATTGTGTGGGTAATTCTTTCATATTCAAATCGATAGGAATTAAAAAGTAGGACAAAATAACGATCCATAAAAATGTGTTATTATTTATGTACATACATACATACAGTCCATGTCCATATATGACATTATGGAATAATTTCGACGAGAATTGGTCTTTAAAGATAAATGTAGTTATTAATTTTGAAGAGTACTTGAAATCCATGTATGAGGTCGCCGCCGTGCGCCTGGCACTGTCTTCTTGCGTCTTCGAATGATGCGCCTTTAGCGACATTGAACTCGTAGCAGTTTCTTGAAAACGCTGCAAGTTCTATATCCGCTGACGCTCCCTTGGGTGCACATCGGTCGTTCGAGAATTCTGTATAAATTAATTTTATTTTTTTAGAGATATAGTAGATACTTATGGAGTTAAAACGAAAGTTTGGTGTGATTTAAGATAAATTATGTATTTTATGTGTATATAACACCTAAAATCGCGTAGATTAATAGATATAGTTTAGAACAATGCTGTAATTTGAATACTTTATTTGTATATTAACTAGCGACTCACCCTCGCTTTGCTCGGGTTCTTCCCTAGTGAAAAACAACAAATCTATCCCACGAGAACCGTACATTTTTCGGGGATAAAAAGTAACCTATGCGCTTTTCCAAATTTCATCCAGTTCCGTTCAGCCGATCTGGCATGATTGAGTGACTAACATCCATTCATTTAAACTTTAGCATTTATAATATTAATGTATTTTTTTTCATTCATTCAACAAATAAAACGTAAAAAGTTTTCTTGCATTAGGTATTCATAACGTAATTTAGTTTCGTTCAAAGATTTCGTTACGTTTTGATCATCGTTAGCCATTTTCTATGTATACGTATGTGCATGTATGCATTTCTCAAGAAGGTCACTCGCTATTGTGAATACTTAATACTGTTTAAGTAACTTTTCCAAATTTAAAATCTGTAATATTGTGTTATATAAATATTGTCACTTCGATGGACGTAAAATTTAATCTAATATTTCATACATCCAAAAATTAAGCTATTACAACGAAATAAATACAACACATCACATGACAAAAGTGCAAGAGAATTAATAATAAAATAATTGGCATAGTCTAAGGGATTAGAAATTATAAAAATTTTGGTATATAAAAGGTTAGATAAAAAATTCCAGATAAGATTTAAAACTGTTATAAAAGTATTTTAATATGGTATACACCCATTATATTTTATTTTTCGTTTTTCATATCCAATCTACTCAGGTGAAGTTTAATTATATTAAAATTTAAATTTAACTTCATTATTTTCCATTTAATACGTTTATCGATTGCATAACTGTACTCATATTTATATTACTCGCGACTCACCCTCGCTCCGCTTGAGTTCGTCCTATGTGAAAATTTTAGTTTGTATGTATTTCTTAATATCGAATCATAAAAAAATTAAAATAAAAAACTTTGTCCAAAATATAAAATTTTTTTTTGGGGTGGACCCATATCACTTAGGGGTATGAAAAATAGTTAAAGTCTTATTCTCAGACGTACTGAATATACACACAAAATTTTATAAGAATCGATCAAGTCGTTTCGGAGGAGTTTTGTTACAAACATTATGACACGAGAATTGTATAAATGAAAATTAGATATACATAGGTATGTACAGGTTCCAAATAAACAGTTCTGAACTTTTCGATTTTCCAGCGGTACCAGCGACAAGAAAACAAAAAAAAATATTATTCAAATCTATCCAGCCGTTTTTGAGTTTTAGCGAAACTAACGAGCGGCAATTGATTTTTATATTTATAGTTTATACTGTACTACCAGGACGTTGAAAATTAATTTGAAGTGGACAACATAATTTAATTGTAGCCGACGTAATAGTTTCAATAATCTATTGCAGGGTGGGCAAAGGGGATGATGTGAGAGCGGCATGTGGGCGGTAGCCGTTAATAAACCACGTTTCTATATGAAATAAACCATTCAAACCTGAACGTCAAAAATACAAACATTGACTTTGAAAATTAAAAAAATACTTGACACTATAACTCAGACCAGAAAATAAATTAGCAATGCTACCAAATTCCTTACCTATTAAAATCAGATTGATTAAACCAGTAGTAATAACATAACAGAGGATGAACGATTAATACTGTGTTAACACAAATGATACCATATTAAGTAATTGTACTGACCTTCTGTTGTAAAGACCTCGACTTCGCATAATGATAGCGAGCCTTCGACTCCGACAAGTTGCAGGAATACATGTTGCCCGATCAGAGGCCGAGCACAAGTGAATGTCTTCGTTACTCCTTCGTCTAGATAACAAGCAATAGATTAATTATATAATATATATATATATATACACATATATATACCTATATATATAGATTATATCAATTTATATTTTCTTGAACCGGTTAAACTCATACAATATAATATTTAATATAAAAATATTACATTGCACAATAGTATTATCTAACTAAACAAATCAATTTGATCACGTCGTAAATGGTGCATCCTTTTGCCTTTTAAGAGGAAAATGTATTTGAAAAGTATCAAATATATTTTAACTTAGCATCCGCGTCGTTAAAAGTTTTATTATTAGTATTTATTTAAAATTAATTATAACTTCTATTATAAAAGTTACAGGTGTTTATTATTATTTATTCATCACTTCTAATTCTATTAATGATTAAATCATTGATCAGAGGAAGTACCACCTTAAGAATGGTATTCTTTAATGGCTATAAAGTGAGCATGTAAGAAAATATTTACATAAATTATAACATCATTGCTGCACTTGATTTAAAATAAAGATAATTTCAAGAAAGTTCTTTATCCTATTATTGTAGCTAAAACCATAAAGTTTATCGCTATTTCCTTTGAATACGTGAACTCTGCGATAAATATACACTTACAGAGATACAAGGACTTCATAATAATGGTCTGGTGTATGTACCTACGGTATATAACGCAGCAGTAACGATGATTATTATTGCAGATTTTCAGCGCTAAGTAATTCCACGCATTCTACTACTGTCTACTGTGTGCCAAAACTATGTATAATATACATAAATAGTTTAGTCTAACGTTATTGATCACATTATTGTACATACCACATAATGTAAAATAACGGTTCAATTCATATCCTAATCATCCACAATAAAGACAAAAATTCGTATAAAAATGAAGAGACATTTCTCATAGTACTCGTATATTTTTATGCACAAGACAAAACTCATCGACTACAACACGCTCACTGCTTAGAAAGTGCAAGTTGATCTCCGAGTTTAAATTAAGTAATTGTATACAATTAGCATTTATACTAAGAAGATAAGCTTTTTTTGAGAATTACATATTGAGATTATTTCATACTATTTGCATAATATGCATCTATTTGTAAGCACATTAATATTTATGACGTCTTCATAAAGGCACGAAGCTAGTCCATTAGCAAAAAATAACAATAAAATGTGAAAGAGAGGATGTTAACAGCAATTTTTATCTTATGATCTAAGCATTTAATTATCTATTTTGGCCAAAAGTTCTCATGAGTACTTGGACTAATTAACTACAACGTGGAACGCAACGAGTATTCTATTACGTAAAACTATTTAATATTTTTATAATTATATAACTCGTGCGTGTGTGCTTGTTCAACGTTCATGACGGAGGACCAGAATACTGACACCAAATTCCATACTTGAACAGATATCTAGGATCTGTAATTTTATATGTTTAAAAACCTATGAACATGTGTTAACTTGTGTAAGGTTTCAATATTTTAGAATGGAGGTCATTAATTAAAGGTTATATCAAATAAAGTTACTAAGCATTAATATTTCCAATATTTCTATCTAATATTTTTATTTTTTTTATAATGACGTAAATATTTATATGTTACACACAGAAAGCACCAAACAACTTACGGCATTTACTTTACAATAAGTAGGTCCCTATACTCTGTTAGCTGTTACACTTTTATTTTTAAAAACATATGCAGGTAAATTCTTTCCCCTTTAAATACGAAGAATTTAGAGGAGAAAAAAATATGTGAATGTAACATTTTATTGAGACTAATTGAAGTCTTTATTTAAGATGTGCTCCAGTTTATTATTATTTTGTTTGTTTAATGTAATTAACGCTTAAAGTAATTGATTAAATGAACGAACTTCAATACTCAAATAATTTTAATTAAGATGCAGATTCTGCAAGCTGGTATTTTTATTACTTAGATTTGCAAGGTTCATTAAGAATAAAAATATAACAATGATATAATAGCCTGAGCCAGCTATCGCGCCGGCGAGTGTTGGCAGTTCCCATGGAACACCGAGCGAAAGCCTGTGAACACTTGTGACACGATTTCCACTTTTCTCTGATCAATTCATTTAAGTAGTATTAGAGACTATAAAAATACATTGCATTTGTAAGGTAGAAGATTGATGCCTATTTCAGACTACAACTTTTCCTTTATGATTAATATGATGGCAGAGAAATAATGTAAGTATGGATGAAGAAGGGACTTATATCAACTCATTAATAATGAAACCGACTCATAGATTGTACTTATTGCTAAATAACGTTAATGTAATAAATGCGAAGTTTGTGGTTGCATTTTCGCTATAAAGCCACTGTGGATTTGGGAGTAGTTTAAAAATGGAGACAGGTTAATATCCTGGATTAAACAAATTTTCATTTATGGAGCTACAACGCCAACAGAATTAGTAGAAAACTTTATTAAATTGTGCCTAATTATTTATGTACGTACGTATGTGTTTATTATAAAAAATGTGTTAGTCATATATGCCACTTTTACAAGAATTTGCATACTCATTTTTGCAGTTTGGAATCGGACATTTTTAATGGAACTTTGGTTTCTGTGACGCAAATATTACCTATAGGTATGTACGTAAGGATGCATTGGTAGAAATAATTTTATTTTATTACAGAATTAATTCTACTGGCCTGTTTTTGCTTATAGGTTACAAAAGAATTGAAAGAATCACAAAATATGTATTGTATCGGTGTCATGATTTCGACACGAGCCGACCTCTTTGTGTGATTATATTCTTAAAATTAGGTTAATTCTCAACAAAACTGAACACTGCACTTTGTATGTTTATGAAACGGTCTATTGTGATTTAACTTTTCTATCGACGTTGTATTACAATTATAATCTTAGATAACATTTTGAAATATTCAATAAAAGATGTAGGTAGTTAGGTACATATATCATGGTTCGATGCAGTAAAATGAAAATAAGAATCCTGAGAAATTCTTCATTCCTGAGAGAGATTTTGATGTCGGTATAGATTAAAACATAAATATTTCTAAAAAGTGTGATATATTAAAACGTACCAATAGTTCCGGGAAACCAGGCACATAGGGGATTTCTTTGTAAATCACTGCTGCTATTCCCCACTCGTATCTCGAGGTCTTGTAGTGGCTGGTGACCTGTGAAACACGATTAATAGTTCAGTGTGCGACACTGATCCCGTCATTGCGAAATTGTGAAATAGGTATATTATTTCACTATCTATAGGAAAACTGTAGGTGCAGAGGATACCCTGGGTAATGGATAAACAATATTAATTACAACCTGTTGAAACGTTGAGAAACACAATATAAATTTTCTCACAGACAAATATGTTTTCCTTGAAAAGGTGTCACAATTTAATTAAAATTTAATTTTACTAATGGTGTTTTAATGAACTATATAAAGGCGAAAGAACTATTATAGTAACTTTATGTATCCACGCATAGTCTCCTCTCAAAGCAATTCTCGTATGAACATTGTTTAGGACAGCATATTTAATATTTTTATATTACTTGAATAAATGTTGTTATATTTTTACAAATCTGAAAGTATCGATCGGTGCTTAGTCTCCTTAAACTACCTAATATTTGCAAAAATATATGGACAAAACTATCAACTTAATTTTAACTGAATTGAAAATTCAGTTTCATAGATGTTATAACTTGAGTGGGCTATCAACAATTTCGAAATGCTACATAATATGATGGACGAATACACCGCAGTGTTACCGTCAACCGCTCATGACATGTACTCGGTGGTGGTCACTTTTATTGCTTGCCGGTCGCAGTTGCGACATTGCTTTACCAACTGTGACGAATTACGAATAAACTTGTGTAAATTAAGTGCATTTATGTGAAACACTATAATTGGCATATAACAATGCAAAATATCGTCTAAATACATTAATCAGATACTTGTCACATCGAGGATGTTTATTGGAAACTCGATTGTTCTTTCCATAAATATCGAGTGAACCTACGTGAATGTAGAATACGGAAAAAAGCCCACGATCTCTTACATAGTAGGTAGATGACTTACATTTAATATTGTCGTTTATAAATTTCTTACAAAGTTCGAGGGGCATTAAATATGTTTTGGAAAATCTTATTAAAATAATCATTATTATCGCTGCAGAGGCTGAATCTATAGTTTTTAGATTTTTTGTCTGCCTGTCTGCCTAGAACGCATCACGAGAAAACTACAGGACAGATTTTGATGAAATTTGGTATGATGATAGTAGGTTATCCTACGATCCTACGATACCATCTATCAGATGGTCAACATATAGGATACTTTTTACTGCGGGAAAATAAATCTCTGAGAAATCTATACTAAACATAATCTAAATCTTCTATACTAAAAAATATCTTTTATTTAAAATGTCAAATATTCGCGTAAATCTGAGAAAGTTTTTAAATATATATTTTTATTGACAAAACATTGTATTGTATGTTCTAATTGTGAAATAAATAGCTAAGTAATAAACCATAAATATCTCTTTATCATTATTTACGTAATAAAATATAAAACATGCGGTTTTGTTCAATTTTTGCAGGGATAGGTAGGTACTCACTGTATTGATAGAAAAGTTAATTTAAACCACTTAACATTTTAGCACTATGCGGCGGTATTACATTATAATACGGTTTAATCATTTAAGTAACATTTTTGATATGGAAATATAAAATATTCAATTTAAATACTTACGCTAGCTTGGGGACTAAGTTTTGTTATTAAGTATAAAAAGCTATTTTGTAGAATAGAAGTCATATTTTTTTATTTTATCTTACCACAGCAACCTCTGGTCGTAACTCTGACGACTTTGACGGCATAGTGTCGGAGGAGGTCTACTTGCCACCAGGGAGAGGCCTCACGCTGAGTTTCCGTGCACCTCTTGCCATCATGTTCTGTCGTTTTTTCACCATCATTACCGTTGCTCGCGCTACCACCTCGCACTGTTGTGGATTGATTCGCAGGTTTTCTGAAGGCCACGTTTGTACCTTAGAGATAACATGTATCCAGGTAAAATGTTTTCAATCTTAATAATATTAATTAAGTTATAGTTGGTTTATAGTTAGTTTTTAGTGTATTTTATAGATAGTTACGATGACTACAACACGCGGAAATTGTCTGCGGAAGTAATGCAAATATTTGACGCATTTTTGTTATTTTTTTAATATGTTTATCTGTACTAATATTATAAAGAGGTAAAGTTTGCATGTTTGTGACATTGTAGGAGGTAATCTCTGGATCTACTGAACCGATTTAGATGGAATTCGGTAAGAAGATAGTTTGAGACTCTGGAAAGGACATAGGATTTTATCCCGGAAATCATGCCTTAAGGGGGTGAAATGGGGGTGAAAGTTTGTATTGGGAAGCAAGCTAGGGACGAACCCGAGCGAAGCGAGGGTGAGTTGCTAAATTATTATATTTTGAGACCGAAGAAGGTATCTTTATTTTAAGCATTAATTCGATTTATTCTCGCTTATTCATTTCATATTGATATATTATATTCTAGACTATATATGTATAATATTTTAGCATGAGTAACTAAAATTAGATACACTGTAGTGCAAAATTATTATTTGTGTTATTTATATATTTTATACAACCTTTTTCTATGTATGTAAGAAGTTGACTTAAACTACCACTTTGTGTTTGTATTTATATACTACTTATGTACCTATTGTAATATCTAAAATAATAGCCTACTTAGTATTCATGTAATTTGGAGCACTCTAAACATGTTAAATGGTCTAGCTTCTCTAACAGGCTATAGAACTTACCGCAAAACGGTGGCTCTGCGGTCCAATCGCCTCTCAATGTGCACTCTCTTTGATGCGGTCCGAACAGCTCATACCCTTCATCGCATTCAAATGTGGCCACAGTGCCCGGGACAATGTTTGTGTCAATGGGCAAAGACACCCTCGCGTTGGCTGGCACTGCCGGATGTCCGCAACGTTGATCACCTAAAGCAGAATTTCAACATTACATTGCGCAATTTAATTAAATACTTGCTATTTACTTATTCATATAAAAATATCTTATATCTTTTGATTTGTTTAAGAAGTATTTAGAAAGGATTATTTATTACGTTGATGGTTACCACGGAGGGAGATCTCTATAAATAATAAGACATTAATGAGATGACCTTGTTTTTTTTAACTCTACGGGAACTAAGGTTGGTTTTTGCGTTTTTGCTAGTATTGAATTGAATGTTTTTCTTACATATTTCCCAGCAAAATTTGGCCATTTATATTCACTTGTTATTCACATGCGTCAAGAGAAGAATCCTTTATGCTAATCATAGTATAACAGTTTAAATTATATTTATTATTAGATATAGGTTTACTGCGAAAATCTTTTTGAAGTAAGTGTATCCGAACCTAGATATTGTGACATACGTTATGCAAAGAACTTGTACTAAAGTAGAAAAATAAAAATACGAAAGGTATTGTTTAGAATTGCACGAATTAATAATTTTGACGTAGGCATACGAATACAGTTTTTTGACAAAATACCGATATAATTCAGCTATTTTGTACAAAATATCTAAAAAAATTATATACATACATACATACATACATACATATAAACAAAACAGATCCTTTTAGTAAATTATACCAAAGTTCACTGTGTGGTTCTAAACCACAAATCGAAGTATGCCGAGAAACCGACAGAAGTAGAGACTTTGTTTCATACGAGAACTATGTATAAAATATAGATACATTTGCATAAATGTATTTCCATGAAAATGAGAGGTTTTACTGCACTGGATTTTTAAATATGTTAATTGGTAACTCTGCTACTAATAGTTTTGTATAATAAAATCATAATTTTTTTGTATGAACGACAGTTCGGCCAAATCAGTCCCTGTGTTTTCTCCAAGGAAATTAGTGTTTTCCCTGTAGTTAAAGGTGACCCGAGTAATAAGTTATTGTTACTATTTTATTGTATGTATAATTATAGATGACATTTTGAAGGCTGTTACGTTTCACCTTTATTGAAGTGCAACTCCTTTAGAATTGATATGATTTCAAACTCGATGACACAAAAATGCGACACTAAAAAGAGACAAACACATAAATATATAGGATTAAGCTGGTGACAGAATGCGATAGAATACATTGCCATGTTGCCATGGTAACCGTTGTTATTGTCTCACAAATATATAATATTATATTCTTTAAGTATAAATTATTGTCTGTCTGTCTGTCTGTCTGTTACCGCATCACAGAAAAAAAACTGAACGGATTTTGATGAAATTTGGTATAGTGTTAGCTGGTTATCCGGGTCAACATATAGGATACTTTTTACTGCGGTAAAATGTTTCATTTCTGAGAAAAAATACAAAAACTGCAACGTAAGAGTATACTAATAGATATATATATATATATATATATATATATATATATATATATATATATATAATAAGAATTTGGTTTTTGGTCATCTAAACGCGGGCGGAGCCGCGGGCAATGCTAGTTTATTATAACTGAGAAATATATTTAGGCATACCATATGCATTGATACAGGCGGTTATGTGGGACTCGCCGGCAAAGCCAGTACTACCCATTAAACTCAACGGAACCTCCCCCGTCTTAATGGGGCAGGATCGCTTACGCACTCAACCACGACGCCCCGACGCGACGATGCCGAAGCAGACTACAACAAACATGGGGTTGCTCCAACAGTCCACTCTGCTATCAGAGAACTACCTGGAGCAACGCACATTGGGGGAATGCTGTGTCACCTAGTACATCTTTTCATAACATACCGAGTCAATGTCGTGTAAAAATATTTATTTATATTTATTGGAACGTATTATGGAAAAAAGGGAAAATATTTTGTTTCCGATCTAGATCTAAGTGGATGAAGTCTCGGGTGGTGTGTAGTAATTGAATACGTTAAGCGTTGAAGTGCGCTGTTGTATTTACAATTACAAACTGTCGCTCGTTACGCCAGTGCCGCGTCTAAAGAAAGCGACGTTATGCAATTTTCAAATGATACATGCTGCATGCACATTGCTTTAAATGTGTTGTAAAGACTTTGATACGGCAATCGCTGTCACTCAAGTAGATTACTAGATATTGTAAAGTGAGATTTTCGTACTAAAGCTAATAAATGACCTTCTCAGTTCGTAGTTACATTTAAAAGAAAAAATTGCAACTAAAAGTTATTATTTATTATTAATGATTTCAATGAACAAATCTGAATAGAAAAATTTAGATTTTTTTAAAGTAAATTGTATGATCCTAAATACATAATTAAGTTAATCTTACTAGACGAATTTACCTGATACTTCTAAAGATCCGGGATTAATCAATTGGCAGCACTGGCTGCGAGAGCCTGTACAGTGTACATATTATGTACATGCTCAAACAAGTACATAAATATGGTTAATGTGATTAGGTATCTGTCTATAGAGTTACTAAGTCCATACTAATATTTGTTGATTAATATATAGTGCATACATGAGCATGAAAATGTACATTAAATTAGAGTTGAATATAGAACTAAACTAATATTGATAAATTAAAAAAATGTTTTTATAATATCAATTTAAATCAATATATGTTAATAGTTTTTTATAATATTAATAAAAAAGTCTTTGTCAATTATTTTGAAAATTGAACCAACTAGAATATACGTTGACGGTCAAATCCAGTTCCAAGCAATGATGTATTTTAATTAGAAATGTCCCGACTAGTCGCCGACTAGTCGGCCACTTTTGTAGTCGGCGAATAGTCGGCAAAAAGTGCCGACTAGTCGGCTTCTTACTTTGTACGTATTTTTCAATCTATTCATCAAAATATACTTTATTCAAATAGACTTTTACAAGCTCTTTTAAATCGTCATTTTTACATTATGAAAATAAAGATTTTACATTAAATATCTGTGTGTAAGTCCGTGAGGAAACTAATAAATATTTTATTATGTATTTACAGCCCTTTTTCGTGTTAGGAATGATTCGCACATGGAAATATCAGAGGTGCGAGACAGAGATTGAACCCGCATTAATCGGTTATCTACGCGAGCATGTCACTGGGCTATCACTGTCGGCTATAGCTAGAGAGCCAGCTTAAATCTGGCAACACATATTTTGCGATACCTGAAATTTTGTCCAGCTATACTGCTATACCCACTGAACAAGCAATGGGCACTAGCTAAGCACGACCGCGGAATTTATATTAATGATTTGCCATTTTTTTACAGGACAAACACGAGATAGTATTGTTCGCTGATGACACTTCACTTATTTTTAAAGTAAAGCGCAATTCGCTAATGTACGACGATGTAAACGATGCTCTCTCAAAGGTTGTCTATTGGTTTGATTCAAATAATTTATTATTAAATAATAAAAAGACAAAATTAATAAAATTCTCAACACCTAATGTCAAAGTTGTTGATAATGGTGTAATATTAAATGGCGAAGTGTTAAAACCTGTAGAGTCCACAAAATTCCTAGGTATTATCATAGATTCGAAATTGCAGTGGGCCCCCCATATTGAGGGGCTAGCGAGTAGACTCAGTTCTGCAGCGTTTGTGGTAAAAAAGTAAGACTTTTTACTGATGTAGACACAGCTCGCATAGTATATTTCATTTATTTTCATAGTATTATGTCTTATGATATCTTACTATGGGGAAATGCAGCTGCTAATAATACGATTTTTGTCCTGCAGAAAAGAGCTATTCGTGCAATTTATAGTTCAGGTCTTAGAGTGTCATTAAGAGATAAGTTTAAAGAAATAAAAATATTGACTGTTGCTTCTTAGTACGTGTACGAAAATTTTATGTATGTCCGTAAAAATATACACGAATTTTCCAAGAAGTGTGACATGCATAACATTAATACTAGGAGCAAACACAAACTTGTAATGCCTGTGACTAGTCTACACAGAGTCAGTATTTTTTATGGAGAATGTATACGCTTGTACAGGATACAGAAATAGGATCTCAGAAAATGTTCAAAAGGCATCTATCGCCAAATTCAAAAAAAATATGTTAAAGAACGTTTATGTGCTAAAGGCTATTATACAGTAAATTATTTTATAGAAGATGGCACACCTTGGGAATGAAATGATCGCCTCCAGGCTACTTCAACCTGATAAAAATATTGTAAATTATAATTTTATTTAAAAAAAAAAATAACAAGTTAGTATTAGTCCTGTTGAGTTGCTTTCGCCAGTTCTTCTCAGGTCTGAGGCTTTTTCGAATTGGTAGTAGACACATGACGTTCAGTAAAAAATTGTAATAATTTAATGCTGAATAAAATATTTTGAATTTTGAATTGAAGTTGACGAAATAGGTACTGTTGAAGGTAGTTCTGCTTGGATTTGCGACTGCGAGAAATCATCTGTGGTCGAACATTTTATGGAAAAACTTAACTGAGGTATCATTAGAATTAGAGTAATTATCATTTGGCATTGGTTACACTTGACTTTGCGGGAATTATTGTCCAATTGTTCAAAAAAAAATCTATATACGAGACTTTCTTTTTGACATTATTAAATTTTAATTAAACTTTTACACTTTAATGAACAATAACACTATTAACTTTACAAAAAATATTTTTTACACAAAAACACCGCTCTGACCCAACAGCAAAATTCAAGAAACAATGCGAAGTAAGCAAAACGGATTCTGACACGTTCGTGGGCGGCGGCTGCGACTTGAGCACGAATGAGCGGTAAACAAAGCATCAGGGAAATCCCCCGAAACAGTGATCGGCTTGGCCGACTAGTCGGCCTCTTTACAGCCGACTAGTCGGCTAGTCGGCTAATCGGCCTATGTCGTAGTCAGCACATCTCTAATTTTAATGTAAAAAAACACAGTCGTACGTAAGGATTTTGCAATTAAAAGTTATTTGAAAATGTTCGTGATTTATTGTTAGATACCGTACGAAATTTATTTCGTCGCGGGTAACAGCTAGAGTCGTTATTTATCCCAGATGGTGATGACGACGTCCTTCCGACCGATTTCGGCCACGGCGGCCAATTTCACAGCGGCTGCGAATGCGACTGCGAACTGCGCAAGAGATAGTGTATTACACACGAGTTCTCACACATCACTCTCTGTTCCTGTTGTACTCAAATTCAGATGGGGCGATAATTCGATATGATCTGTGAGAGATCAGGCGCAGAACCGGGTTTTAGGTGTGTCCGAGGCCGGGGATGAAACACCGCTAACTTCCCAACGGGCTGTTACTGGAATTTTCTAAACAGAAATACTCAATATCTAAACTCGGCCCGA